AAGTCGAAACTCTCATCACTAGTTAGTTGAGTACAACCACATAATATTATTGAACTGAACCGACATTATTACTCGATTGATATGCCATTATATTAATATTGAATCACTGGATTTGTTTGATTGTTTAGTCATATAATAGCAAGTACCCTTATGAGTTTAAATTCTTGTTTATAAAATTGTGCTATGGTTTAACTCATTTTAGAATTAAATATGTATAAGATTGGTGTGAATTGGAAATAGTGCATATATTTATTTGAATTTAAATAGTCCTTATATTAGGCTGCTTCATCGTAAGGTCTTTTAGGCAAAAGAAAAAAAAAACAAAAGGAAAAAAGGGAAATCTTTGCAAGAAATTTTATCAAAATAATCAGTAATTTATTGACTAACGCATGGTCTAGTTGTATATGAAATATAAGATCATTTTTTTCTCTACACATCCCTGTTTTAAGTTAAAAGTGTGTCATAGTGGTATAAATAAATTGACTCTGGATCTTTTTTTGGGTGAAGTAAAATGAATATAAAAGTGGGTACAAGTTTTATTTTTTGTTTATGGTTCTGACCTATTTCAATTTGTCTGTACAACAGGTGAGGGAAGCTCTAGGGGTTACCCTTTCTGTATTGTGCTCTAACATTCGGCTATATCATTCAAGTCATCAGGATAATGCACAGGGCGAGAGAAATGACAATGTTGATAGCTTGATGAAAGATGAAAGCTGGGTTCAATTTCTTACAGAGCGTGCTGCTGAAGCAGTTGTGAACATTCAGATTGCTACCCAATCAGATAAAGTGGTGAATCCTGTAGATATTAGTTCTCAAAATGGGCATGTAGATGGTGATTCAGAAGATGACATGAAATGGATGGAAACGGTACCAATGGAAGCATAGAGTTTATTATGAGGTTTTGCTTTAATTTATCTAATTATTTGCTAATTATGTACTATTCCAAACATATGTAGCTACTGCATTTCATCATCTCATCACTGAAGTCTGGGAGATCCTCATATCTACTCGATGTGCTGGTGGGGCTTCTGTATCCTGTGATTTGCTTGCAGGTTCGAGTTATATATTTGACTCTTACAATTTGAACTTTTTACTTGTTTGATTGCATTGTAACTGTTATCTGAGTTATTTACTTGTCATGTAATTCTCATTGGATTGTTTCATTTTGACAATTAGTTTGATTTATTGTGTGTGCCTTTAAGGCGTCTTAAGCCTTTAGCACTTGATTCTCCTAGCAAATCCAAATTTCAAGTCGCGTCATCTTCCAGGAATTAATTATAGGATGATATATGTTGACTTGGTTTACTATCAGCTTCAACTTCCTTCCAAGATTCTAGTTCCACCTAAGTTGTAAAACAGTAATAAGGTTGTCCATAATGCTTATAATCAAATCTAGAATATAAGCTCCTGAAATCTCTGAATCTGAATATTTTCAGGATATTGAAAGCATACTTGTGAATGGGCCTTTGTCAGTGTGTTAGTGTAAAATATTTATAGGTGGATTTTCTTACCACATACAAGTCTTTATACTTGTAATAAATTCATATAAAAACACTTTAATGGAGATGTAATTTTTGTTGTTACACAAGTTCAGTGATCAATGAAACAGAAATAGAAGTATCAATTATGATTATATATTATTGCAAGACTTAATGAAGGCTACATTACTTTTCACATTCTTATACCTTTAGAGCAGCTGTATTAAAATAATGTAAAAAAAAAATGTTATTTTCATTTTATGTTCGATTTGATTCTATGATTATTCAAGTAGGGAAGTATCAGTTACCAAACTTCTGAATAATTTTATTTGCTTTTGAAGGAAACATCAAATAAGGATTTGTCAATATTAGCCAAGGCAGCATTTGAATTGCTTAAATGGGTGATTGTTTGGGAACCTCACCTTCAGAAGGCTGTATCTGTGATTCTTTCTGCTGCCAATGATTCCAACTGGCGAACTAGATCTGCTACATTGACATATCTGCGTACATTCATGTACAGGTATGATGATCTTGTGATAGATTTGCTTTGGCCTACAATACTCTAAAGGGTTGCATGCTTATTCATTATATCTTTATAGGCATCTAGCTTCATGTGGTAATGTTTTCTTAACAATGTCTTTGTATTTGCATCCATGTTTTGAAACATCAGCAACTTGACATTAGCAGAGTTTTTTCACCGATAATTATTTTCTCATTTATTTGAGGTGATTTCACATTCTTGTCTGAATTGAAGGGGATGCAAATAAAGTTTATTTCCTTCTTTAACAGGCACACTTTCATTCTCTCAAGTTCAAAGAAACAAGAAATTTGGAGGACTGTTGAGAAGTTACTAGTAGACAATCAAATTGAGGCAAGCTCCTTTTCAAAGTTATTTGAATAGAAATGCAAAATACTTTTTTTCTCCTTTTTATATTTATAAATTTGGGTAATTTAGGATGATTGGATGTTTGTACTTCATAGAATATGCTATTCCTTGTTAAAAAGGTTTCATGTTGGCAAACTCTACTTTTTTACTAGCAAGGCACCTTTTTTCCCTTTAAAAACTGGACTGTGGATGGGACCAAGATCATACACCACATACTTGTGTGAATTTCCGGTAGAGGAAAGCATATTATACTTTAAAATGTTTGTTCGTAGTTACCAATGGCTGTTTTCTTTGTGCAGACTTAAATCTATATCAACATATATTTTAGGAAAACCATGCTCTGATGCTCCATGTTGCTTTTCTTATGCTTACATCCATTATCGCTGGTTGCCATTTACATTTAGTCTCGTGATTATGATTGATACATTTTAAATCATCTCATTATGGAAGACTTCATCTTTTCTCTAGGTAAGAGAACATGCTGCAGCTGTTTTAGCAGGCTTAATGAAGGGTGGAGATGAAGATCTAGCTAGAGATTTCCGTGATAGAGCTTATAGGGAGGCAAATATTGTACAAAAGAGAAGAAAGTTGAGGTTATTCTTTGCCTCTTGTTTCTTGGAAGTTCCGTTTTTTATTTTTGTACAGAAATGGATCTCAAAGCAAGTATAAATTTTGGTTCATATCTTTGAATTTAACATCATCTTTATCCATTGTGCATTGTCTTGTGGATGCTATATCTGTAGTTTTGATTTTGGACCTTCATGAAAATACTATTAATGCTAAACATACTAGGTTTTTATTAGGCACTCCATTATGGGTAAGGACAAAAGAGGGATTGCATAGGCTTTAACAAACTTATATGCATGGAATAACAGTGCGGAAGCATTGTGGTAAAGTTTGAGGTTGTGTGGGATACAAGGGAAGACTGGGGAAATGAGAGGTTGGCATTCGATTGGGTAGTTTTGGGTGGCTCTTGCTGCAGGGAAGAGAAGTTCTGGATTGTGATTTCTATCCTTTTATTCCTAGATTTCTATCTACTGCATTTTTCTCCTTGTGACCAGAGCTCTGTTCTCTGGAATTTCCGTATTAATTCCATAATAAATTCAGGTCCTACCAGTTTCATCGCATGAAGAATAAGTTCTATATTTGCTATTCATAAAAATAAAAATAAAAAGTCAAAAGGTGCATGCTGTTTATCTTAAAATATTTTGTGTAACATTTAGAGGCATGAAGAGCATAAGATGGATTTACCAACATTTCTTTATTTGTCAATTAAACAGCTGATATCACCGTGTAGCAAATTCTCTTTTTTTTTTATTAGCTAGCTCTTACATGCCAAGTTTGATAGTGTGGAAATCTTCTAATGCAGAAATGCAAGTTCTGGTTCACCAATTGCATCTGTTCATGGTGCTGTACTAGCTTTGGTAGCTTGTGTATTATCAGCCCCATATGACATGCCCAGGTTTGTACAGTAATAATATATCCATGCCATATGATATTTATTGGTGATTTGGAATGTATGTAATGACTGGGCGAAATCCACTCGTGAGATATTGCAAAAAGTTAACATTAGGTCAATCCTACTGAGATAAGGCTTTTGTTGTGGTCGGTCAATACATTCTTAGTTGATTTTATTAAAAAGAAAAAAAAAACTTTTTGTGATCATATTGTGAAATTACTGCATAGCGCGATACTCTGGTACTGTTGGCTTCAATTTCTGCATCACATGGAAATATGAGTTCATTTGCAATTATATTAAAGGAGCAATATCATACGTCTAAAGTATGTGATGCCCGTATCTCGTTAGAAGTATCAATGATTTGAGTGGTAGTGCTACAGCTATAATCTAATACATATTCTTTTTCCAATTATAGCGAAATAAAATTTGACGGAAGTTCAGTGAAGTAGAGAGAAATCCAAAAATAAAATTTGTGAAATCACATGCACAAATGTTTATCTTATCTCTTTAAGCATATGTGCGTTCAGTTCTATGCTAGATTTATAAGGATCACAGACATTTCTTTTTTGTTTTGGAGACACTGGAAGGGATTGATTATGCATCTATTGACTCCCTTTCGACAATATTTTCCTTGTCATTATCTGACTGCATACACTATTTTTTTTCAGTTGGTTGCCTGATCATGTTACACTACTAGCTTGCTTCAGTGGGGAGCCAGCCCCTGTGAAATCTACAGTTACTAAAGCAGTTGCAGAGTTCCGGCGGACCCATGCTGATACATGGAATGTTCAGAAAGAGTTATTTACTGAAGAGCAACTTGAGGTAGCTTTCTAGAAAAATCCAAACATATCATGCCCTGCAGTTTAGAACTTTTTGATTATTCTATTTTCTTTTTTGTATTTTTTATCCTAACTTTCCTCCCTATTCACAGATTCTGGCAGATACTTCCTCGTCATCATCATATTTTGCTTGATCAAATATTCCAAAGATATTGTTGGGAGAGTTCTGAAAATATTGGTTAGGGAAAGTTTGCTTTTCATTTTTGGTGTATTGACTGTATTCATAGTTGTAAAAATAGTTTATTTACATTTGTACCATTGATCATCGTAATAAATTTATTCCTTAATCTAGTCTCAGAAGTTGAACCTCTAGCTTTGGTCTTGTTCTGTAATTTTTCTTATACCATAGGGTTAATTAAATCATCTGCTGGTAGATCCCAGACGACGCAATCTGAGTTGAATATATTGGATAGATTTCTAATTTCCTTGGTAGCCTCAGACTCAGCACCATTTACCTCTTCAAGTTTTTCATGTAACTGGGAGTGCTGATCCATGGCTGTGCATGTGCTTCCAGTACATACACTTTGGCCCCATGGAGATGCATCCCCTTTATTGGCGAAAGATGCTGGAGAGAATTGAAACCCTGGCATTGTAGGGCAAACTGGCATTGCAAAAGTTGCAGTTGCGGGCATCATTTGAGGTTCTTGTTGTATGGCCTTAGATAGGTTCTCAACCGTTGCATCCTTTTCTTCTGGCTTACAATTAATGTAATCAGTGAAGCTATTCCCCAGTGCTGCAGCCGAATGCTGACCCTGGAAGTTAATTGGCTTCCTAGTAAGAAGGTGGAGCACCTCATCTTTGAAACAGCCAAGGGCTGCTTCAGCTAGGTGTGCTGCCTGTGGGGGTGCCAACGTCGTAGCAATTTCAGCCATTAGATGGGAAAATGGCTTGTGGGTGACAGGGTCTATACCCATGCCTGACAGTTTCTTTTTCAGCTTGGTGTTCCAGTGGTTTTTCACATCATTGTCAGTGCGTCCTGCCAGCTGGGCTGCTATCAGTGACCATCTGAACATCCATTTAAAGGATCAATAACTAACATAAATCACCTACGCTATGGTTAAACATTCAACATACCTGTTACCAAAAACTGAATGAAGCTTCACAATGGTTTGCCCTTCCGAATCCGAAAATTGGCCATGCTTGAGATCAGGACGAAGGTAATTAGTCCACCTTAGTCTGCAGCTCTTTCCGCATCTCTGGAGGCCTATTTCATAAGCAAAATTAAGTAGGAATAATGCCTGTTTGTTTTTTTGACTTTGATACGAATGATATCAATACATAGTGGAGGGACTAACCAGCATTCTTGGGAATGAGACGCCAGTTGCGAGTTCCATGCTGAGCAATGTAGGACGAGAGCTTGTTATCTTCCTCAGGTGTCCACTGTCCTCTTTTCACGTTGTCCTTCTCGCAGCAAGGAATACGCCCCATTTCAGTATTCTTTTTCTTTTTCAATGTTAATTCTCCTATCTAAAGAAATTCCTATTTTGAGAGTAGTGAGGACTAGAATAATGGAGGGGACTGATGATTATAAGAATTGTCTTTCTTTCTTCCACAACAACTTGTGAACTCTCTCTACCAGTCTTTGAATTCTTTGAGGTGAAAAGGGAAGACGTGGAATATTTCTTTGAGTTGGTTTTTTGTTTGTCTTTTTTTCTGTTTTTCTGGTAGGCTTGTTATTCTTAATATATAAAGGGTGCCAATTGGAATTGCATGGCATAAAGGCATCAAAGGCGCATGATTTTGTTAAAGAATTTCAACGCCATTGAGCGTGTGAGGGGAAGGTAGGTAGCTCACCCACAAGATGCTTGGTCAATCTCTCTTTCTCTCTCTCCCTCTCCTCCTCTTTCCTTGTTGACTGCTTTGCTCATAGTTTGTGTGCTTAATGCCATATGTGGGGTAGGTTTATGCTTTGATCACACAAAACCTCCTCACCTTTCTTCAGAGGATGGGTAGCACGGATAGATCCTATCTAACGTTACTGATATCAAGGTCCACGTGCGGGGTATCGATCTTTGAGATTTTTTTTCTTCGTGATTTCTCTTGTTACTTACTATGCTACGCCGGGTAGCAGAAGAGAACCTGGGAAGACATAACTGAAGTGGATCCTACACGTAGTGCATGACACTTTGGAGCAACATTTCTCATTTCTTTAGGCTCGTTTTTACAATACATTACTTTAGCATCATTGACTAGCATTATGATTTTGGCTACTATATCTGGACTTGCTAATTTGACTAAGACTTAGATTTCTATAAGTGGACTCGCTAAAGACTGCACCTTATCTATTTAAAGTGTCAACAATCATTATTACAAATCTTAACGACAGGAATCGATTGGAATGGTTATATATTCTCCTAATTTGTTTTTTGTGCCAATACTCGGAAGTTAAGAGCATTTTGGGTAATTAGGATCTACAGTCAAGACACCCAATAATTTAAAATTCTGTTATTTAACTGAACTTCGTAGAGTAGTAATCTTTGAGAGTGTGAGTGTCTCTCATCCAATTAATGATGCTCACACCAGTGTGTTTAGATATGCGTTCTAAAATTGATTCTAGATTAATGAGATTTTATATAATTAATTATGAACATAACATAATTTTTATTTAGATAACAGATATAAGAAAAAATGATTTTTTTTTCTAAGATGTTTGAATATACACTGTTTTGTTCTCTGAAATTGTAACTTACTTGCATGAAAGAATCAATCATTTGATAAATAATGTTGTTAGGCATCTGCAACGCGGGTGCTAAATTTGCAAAGTTCTTCCTAAGAACTTGTCTCACTAACTTCTTTCATTGTGCACAATTTTTATAAAGCATTATTGACTTACAAAAATATAGATACTTACTTTTTTTAATTAAAAATTAAACATATAACATATTTCATAATGTTATACAGTAAGATTAAACATTATATTTCTTAACATTGCAAAATTATTTTTTAAATATAATTTTATATATAAATGCTTGTATAAATAAGATTTATTATATATTTATTCACTAATTTTCTATAAAAAAATTCTTCTCTTTCACTCTTCGTCTTTTAAAATGTTGACTGACTCTCTCTCCTAAGTGGCTATTCCACCTAGATCCACGTCACAGGGACTAATTAGGAAGAGAGAAAATAAAATCTTTTCTCAGCTTTTCTTTTTTCGTGCCTCTTCTCTACCACCTAAATCCTATCCAAATAAGGGGGCCTTTCTTGTGACAAAAGAACAACCTTTTTTATTCTTTTTCTTCCAGCTTGATGTAAAACACCAACTTTATCTTTGGGTGTCAAACTGAACTCCCAATCTCGTTGTGATCGAGATACTTATTTGGGTGCAATTGAGAGTGCATCAATTACATGGAAGGCGAGTGGTTGAATCAATCGTTTTAATGGGTAAAGCTTGTCATCGTGGTTGATGCAAGATAGATGTTTGATGAAATGTTTGTCATTGTGGTGGGTCACATGGCAATGACCACTTAATGTCGCCAATATAAGGAACATATTATAAAGTTCCAAGAACTTTGCTTTGAATCAAGATTTTCGTCAAACAGTAATATAAACCGTGGTTGAAATTGTTGTGAAAGTTACTTGAAATTCACTCGGTTCACCTGGAGAGATTGAAGAAACCAATGATGAATGAAAGTGCAGAAAGAGATAAAAACGAAAAAAATAATAAAGGGAAACAATGGAAGATGGAGAAGAAGAAACTTTTTTTAATTCGGTTTAGGAGAGAGATTGCACTATTCACATATTAATGTTGTCGTTGATAATATACTAATATAGGGTTACCCTTTTTCGGTAATTACTTGGTCTCTACTTTTTTATTTTTTATTATTATATTATTTTATTTTAAAAAATTAGAAAAAATATTTTTAATTAAATTTAAAAACTTCAAATTAATGAATCTATACTAATCTATACTAATATATAAAGGGAATATCCTTTTGGTAACTACTTTAGTCTTCACTATTTTTTTGACCATTATACTCTTTTATTTTAAAAAATTAGAAAAAACATTTTTAATCAAATTTAAAAACTTCAAATTAATAAATCTATACTAATATATAACGGAGATATTATTGTCAATAACTATTTTTGATTTTCATTTTTATATGGACTATTTTATCTTTTATTTATTTTTTAATAATTATCTTTTTATGAGTAATTTTTCATTTTTTTTATTTTTTTAATTTTTTCTTTTAATACAATACAGGCACGCAGCGCCTTTTTTCTAATAGATAAATAATACAATCGTATAAATAATTTTACAAGAAAACATATATGATATAAAAGAATGGAGGAACAAATATGTACGAACTATTTTTTGTTCCTTTTGATTCATATAAACGTATTCCCTTGGCATGAATTCTCCTATACAAAGTGTCTTGCCACTTTAATAAAAATAATTTTATTTTATATTTAAAGAAAATAATAAACCGTACGTAAGATATAAAACAAAATATGTTTTCTCTCAGCACCTTCTTTTTTATTTTGAAGTGCCTCTACTCTTTATGAAGTCTTTGAAAAGCCTAACTGAAGCGACTTCAATTTTTCAACAGTCATAATAACCGCCTTTCGAGCCTCTTACTCCCGTATATAATTCTCCTGCATTCGGACATGTCTTTCACAGTTTTTACCGTTGTTTCCAATCGTGTCTCAAAAATTTATCGTAGCGGCGCTGTCTTTCTGGCGCCGCTACCACCACCACCACACACATTTCAGTTTTCCCTGTGACGCATCCATGGATAGTGTCTCGGAGTTTCCTTTGTTTGGTTCTGACCCATTTGACATTACACTTCTCCAAAATTTTCTCGAGGAGGAGGACCCACTTGTCTATTTATCCAATGATGATGTACCCAATGAACAGTCCCTGCAGCAACAACATGTTCCTTTTGGCGGTAAGTGTGTTTTCTTGCCGGATCCAGTGATTCAAAATCAACCAAATGGAGAAGGAGTTGCTAACTGTGTAGGGGGTTCATCATCCACCATGAGGGGTAAGGAACACATGATGCAAGATCAATTCTTGCATGCCTATGGCAATGATAATTTTATCAATGATGAAACATTCGGTAACTTCAGTAAACCGGAATTTGAGAATATTGGTCCACTCATTTACCAACATGAACATATGATGTCACTTCCGCATTGGCCACCGTCACCAAAGCCATTCTTTTGCAGTTGCTGTCAAGTTCTTAGACAAATAATTCACACCAATGGTAATGAAGTTTTCAATCATGTCACCATAGATAAATAAATAAATGGCCTCCACACTATTTTTCCGGTTTTAACTAATTTTTTCCCGTTTCGATTTTCTTTAAATTTGAAATAATATATGGCAGGTTCTAGGTTTGACAAGCTTGAGATACATGGAACGATAGGGATGATTAGCCATGCAATAATCCGGAATACCACTCCGGGTGATCCTTCAAGCAATTATCAAATGGTTGAGTACGTTCTAATTAACTCATAGTCTGGGTACTACTATTTGCATGCATGTCACTCTCGAGCGCTAACTGTTATCCAAAACAATTTTTTATTATTATTTTTTAGTTTAATAATAATAATAATAATAAAATTACATTTATCTGCATTTTTTAACGATCATTTCGTTTTGGGTGGTTACCAGTTTCTGTAACAGAAACAAAGAAGAAATTAAGAGTTTCCTAAAACAATACTGTGAGCAGCAAAATATATTCGGGTACATTATTATGAAAGATCCGTTGTCTGCGTATTATGATGCTCTCAGCACTGGAATGGATTGGGCTCAAGATATCAGTGACGAAGACGATGATTTGATATCAGGTCGGTCTTTGTCACGTTTTCTCCTCATCCATTATTATGACAATTTCATTCTTGAATCGTTATGTTTGTAGAAAATGACGTGGAGCAAGATCAAGAGCCGGAGCCTGAACCTGAGAATGAAATGGCTTCAAATGCTAGACGACTTCAGGTTATAGTTTTTGTTTTCTTAGGAAGTGTTGCGTTTGCATGCATCATGCGCATGCACATGCACGTGTCCATACATGTTTTAATCTGCTGAAAAATTGAGTTTTGACAATTAGTTGTGTCTGCATGCATTGCATTTGACAGAGGGAGAGAGTAGCGAAGATGACATTGGGTGATTTGAGCGATTACTTCCATATACCGATTAAGGAGACAGCGAAACTACTGGAAGTAAGCACTTCTGTGGTGAAGAAAGTATGCCGCAAGGCAGAGTTATATAGATGGCCCCAAAGAAAGGTAGGTTGCTATATACTGCAATCTTTTGCTGTTTCTCTATGTGATTTGATTTTTGCTAACATCATGCAGTTATTGTGCTCAGGTGAAAAGTAATATGAGGAAGATCACAGTGCTCAGAAGAGGATTGGCTAATCCAGGAACAAGGGAAAAAACTCGAGTGGAAATTCAAAGACTTCAACAAGAAATGGTTGAGTATTGTGGTGGACTTGCCCCAACTGGAATAGAAATGCTCCAAGTATAGTAAGTGAGTCGGATTGAAATGTTGCTTGAGGGTGGGTTATTAGATTTTTTTAGACTCTTGTTTACATATAGTTAGACTTTCTCGGTGGATACGTGTAACTTTTCTATGAATCCTGTAAAGTTATTTGACCAATTAAGTTGTCCATCATACTTGAGAGTTGAAATAAAAATTATGTTTACATTTTTTTCCTAATAAATTCTCACTACAACATTTTATATTCCGTGGAGAATAACCTAGCATGCATGCATGCATACCTTCTAATTATAGGACGTAATTCTTCAATGATTGGTTTTAAAATATGTGATCTTGGATGCCAATTCCCAACTCTGATTCTTTGTGCCTTCCAACGGTTTCCTTTCCATTTGATATGCCTTGCACAGATTTTTACTTCCAATGCATATTTATAATATTGCACAGGGTTGTATGGAAGTTGTGTATCGAATGATTAAAGGAAAAAAGAAGTTACGTACATTTAAAAAAAAGGCATTCATCTTAATCAATTTATTTGTGGCCATTCTACCCAATTTAATTGGTAGTTGACCTGAAAGGTTAATTAGATATCGAAACATTGCTGCACGAACAAAACTTCAACCACCTTTTTTTAAAAATTAAATTCTAATATGATCAATTAAGAATTAATTTTAAAAATATTTTCAAATAATTATTAATAATTGAAAATAAATTAAGGATTGAAAAACTCGGGGGAAGGTAATTGAAATTTGAAAGCATAAGTATAATTCTAATTTTTCCTATTTACATCTTTTAAACCCTAAATTCTATAAGCTAAATCTTATTGAAACTTTATAACGAATAATAACATTACAATTGATACTTTGAATACGAGAGATAAAATTAAAATTTAGTTATTAGTATAGTTTTTTCATTGTTATAATTATTCCCTCTAGAGAAATGTAATTAGTATAGTTTTTCATTGTTATAAAGTTTTATGTGTGAAAGACATTTTTTATAAATAAAAATAAATATTTCATGTTAAACGAAGTATTCACCATCAAATCTCTAAAATTTTACAATATCAAAAAGTTACTTCTTTAAATATTTAAACCTAAAGATTGTTGTTGCAAATTAGTAGTGATTGATAGCTCCACAACTAAGAGCATGTATGCGTAAAACATTAATAGTTTGATAGAATATAGTTACTTTTTTCAAAAAAATCTTACTGTATATTTTATTTGCGTATGAATTGGTTTTATTTATTACTAGCGGAGTCGACACACTTCGTGCCTCTATGTATTTTATTTTAAAATTTAAAATAATTTATTTATAAAATTATTTTAACTTTTGAAAGAGAGTCGTTGTAACTCATTCAAGGGTACAAGTGTGAGGGTAAATTAGGCAAAATACGATCGAAATTAATTTTGAATAAAGTAGAAGGAGGTCCCTATTGCTTCAACCATAGTCACATAATTGCGAATGGGTTAGTGCTTACAAAGATTGTTTCTAATTGAAAGTCCATTTATTTTAATACCCAAACATCCTACATTTAAGTCGAAACAAATTTGACTCAACTCATCATGTTTCCCTGTGACTTGACCAAACACACACATAGTCTCCAATGAAACCTCTATCAAGAAAAGAGAAAAGGCTCAAAAAGACACGTGGAGAAGAGGTTTTTACCAAACACTGAAAGTAGAATGGAATTCATTTATTCAGGTAGAGAACACCTATCCTCTAGCTTCAAGTCGGCTGCTTCAAAAACCAGACATGCTCAACTTCTTATTCCATAACAATAATTTGCATCTTAAATGAAACTACCTAGTTTCTCAAGAATCATTTCAAGAAACAAATACAATTTTAAGCTTCTGCAACTCTATCACACACCCTTACTACTACATTTTAACTGGAAGAACAACACAACCTTGGATTCATCTGCTTAATTCTTTATGTTTTTTTTCGGGTGGGAGTGTCCACTGTCCAATGTTGAATGCTGGTTTTCAATGAAGGGGCAAAATAAGTAACCACAATCTAATTCCTCAGTTCAACTTCCAATTCTAGGAGAGATCACTAAGCTTCTCAGCTTAGTTTTGCAGATACTATCCCTTCAATGGATCCAACTAGAGTAAACAGTCCCACCAGCAAACCACCAATGCTAAAAGTCCTAAGCAAGACCCACTTAGTCGTCCATGCGTCAATATTGGACTGACTCAAGTACATTTCCACTGGAAAATATATGGTTAATGGATAATAGATTATGCCAGCCAAAACTCCCAAAATCTGATTGAAGTAGGGAAAGATGATGGCAATCACAGTCGTTGATGCAACGTATGCAGTTCTGAAAGTTAGCCTGAGAAAATTTAGTTGGAAAGCTGGCAGCAATGGGAGTTTCAAGAAGTATGTGTGATTCACAAATTCACTGTCTGGGAACCTGAAACGAAGCCAATTCTCAACATTGGCATAAAGTGGCTGGCTATACACCTGCACCAGAACAACATAAATGGTACACTGTTTAGAAAGACAAGTGATGGAGAGTGTAAGGATAGATAGCACTAGCAGAGACACGAAATGAAAGCACTACAACAAAATTTGAGGATGATACTACAAGGATTATATGTGTTTTTATTAGTTCTTGAACTTTTGCCAATTTTCACTTTTAGTTTTTGAACTTTTCCTTCCATTAACATTTTGGTTCCTGATGTTATGTTTTTTTGTTCATCATGGGAAAAAATTTCAAAAACTAAAACCAAATAATAAAAATTGACTACAGTTTAAAGACTAAAATTATATATAATCCTATCTATAATATTAAAGTACCTGATATGCACCCACTAGGTGAATGACTATACAAGCATTGGCAAAGTCTACAAGCCAATGTCGTTTATAGTGTGCAAACCCTGTTAAAAGGTTTCCTGGGGTATCATTGCCAAAGGCTGCATATCCAAAACACCCACAACAGAGGTAGAAAAATGTTGTGACAATGACAGATATCGTTGAGGCCTTCTTCATGGTTTGGTTTTCTGGTGGAGGCGACTTCAATGTATCCTTCAAGAATTGCAGAAAGTTACATTAGCCTTATAGTTGTTAAAGCTTTCCCTCAAAGGAGTGGTAAAGTTACATTCTGATTATCTGAGATCACAGGATACATACCTGTATTTCTATAAGAATCACTGAGAATGGATAGGAGAATGCTATGTCACCAAGTGCTTGAGCAGCCAGCCATACTTTTGCAGTTGCACTGGAAGTAGGGATTCCTTCAATGCTACCCTTAGCATGGCCATTTTCTGGTCAAATGATTACCAGAAAATTATATACATGTTTTTGGTAAAAAAAAAATAGTTTAATTACATACTTTCAAGCAACTGTCCATGAACATGTCACATGCTATGCCTAAGGAAAGATACCAATAATCTGATACTTATGAGCATACCTGTGACTTGCGCGGCAGAAAGCCCCATTCCTATGAAAGCATAAGCAAAGGATGTAATTGCTGCGAGAATTGACAACCATTGAATATTATGGAAGTTGGGTATTTGTGACAGAACAACTTGGATAGCCCCAAAAATAAGCATAAAATATGCATCAGGAAATCCACATGATCCAATCCCTTCTTTGTCTTGGTTGCAGTTTGATTGTTGGATTGATCTGCAGTCACAAACACAAAACAGTCCTAGTGAGATTGTGGGAACAGCCTCATGTTTTCCTGGTGGAGTACAAGTGAGAAATCATGTTTGGAAAAAGTAGCATGCATAGACAAATGAAGGGAAAGTAGAGCATGGAAAAGGAATAAACAAAACAAGAGAGAAACTATTGTGATAAGTTACTGAACACACCTTATGCTGATAGCTGCGGTAATGACATAAGCAATTCCAAAACCATATAAGCTTACATTCACAAAAATACCACAGAAGCGACTATTCCCTTCTCCTGTAATGTTACAATCCAATTAGGATCGTGTAAGAGGAGCAATCTTACTCACAGAAATATATCAAGATGCTATTCCAAATGTGCTAGCATATTTGATCAAAATTGATATACAAACTAACTAGATGAAACATTAACACTTTATAAACTTACACAAACACATGTTAAGCTTCTATGTTATGAAAGGAAAGAACCCAAAAGAAGAAAGTTCACTGATTAAAGAGTAACATATATCACTATGGCTCATCTGCCATTGCTGTCATCATTTGCATCACCACAATCTCTTTCACCAGACCACTCGTTATCATAACCACAATATCAACACTATATAGTAGAAGTGATGATATTTCTCGGTATAAAATTAGCAAAGATAAAATGTATAATTCGCATACTTCATACCTATCTTTTGTTCTTTTATTATTAAAGCATCTGAATATAACAGCTCAAATTTTGGGGTTACAGCTCATGTGTGTATTTTATAAATGTCATGTGCCAAATAAACTCAGGGAAAAACTCTAAGATATATAAAGATACTAAAATATATTATTGGAAAAAATAAATAAAATTTAATTAATTAAATAAGTATCAGTTTGAAGCTTAAGAATTTTAACATAAACAATCAGTGAGAAGAATTCTTGAGAAGTCACAAAGTACGATATTGAATTCGATAGTAAACCAAGCCATCTAATCAGAGAATGATTAGTCATTAGCCTCAATTTGATTATTTAAATTTCCCAATCATTTTTATGTGGTTCCGTGTGGCTCATGAAGAAACAGAATGATAAAAGAACGAACAATGAGCAAGATCCATGTGGAAGCATTCGAAAGAGTCTAGTATGATCTGCACACTATGGTTGCCGTGACAGAACTGAACTAGTTACCTATGCGACACGCTCTCACGTTACTACTGGTCCAACTCACACCCACATTTTCCCTCATCACGTCACTTTTCATTTATTTCATTTATTCTTTTATTAACAAGCAACAAGAAAATAAAGTTTTTCTTCCATGATTTTCTCCACTTGATCTCATCAGATCACGCACCAATTGAGGCGATCAAAACGAATAACATGCAGATTCAAATGAAACGAAATTAACAAACATAACACAAAAAAGAAATTGGTAGAAACAAGGAACCATGTTGTGAAAGCTTACCCTTGTGGAAATTAACAGCATCAAGGTAAGAGGAGCTTCTATTGGGGCCATGTTCAGGGTCTGGAGAACGATATGTGTTGCTAAGAAGGAAAGAAGAGAGAAGAGTGATGGAAGCAAAGAAAACAATTGTTAATGGCCCTCCAATCCATCCAAGCTGTGCAATGCTCCATGCCAAAGACAACACTCCTGACCCTATCACACCTGTCACTATATGTGCCACTGCAGTCCACACTGTCCCTGTTATCAACACACACACACACACACAAATTCATCATCCATTCCACCACAAAATACAACTATCAAAAAATCATAAAAATTCAATTTTCATGCATTCCCATTATAATTCATACTACAATCCAATCAAAATCACTCTTTCAGATGATGCCAAAGGAAATTATTACAAAATTCAACAAATTCATTAGAAATGATAATCTGGGTTGTTGATATATTCAAATTAAATTCTAATGGTACTAATAATATCATCCATATGAATCACTTTTTTGAACACGATGAGAACAATAAAAATGTGATTTTTTTTTCTTCTTCTTTTGTGAGGGAAATGGAATGAATGATTGAGATGAGATGAGAAGAAGGGTAGAAACCGGTTCTTTCGACATGACGTGCTGCATATTGGGCCTCCAAAAATGGGGCGCTGTCAGTTGCAGAACCTTCTTCTTTCATGGTTTTTGATGAGATGGCAAAAACCTGAAGAGTGGATGAAATTGATTCACTGAATTTTCAGTTTGAGTTCATTGGAATGGGTGACTTAAGGAACTTTGTTTGTGGATGGGAAAGTGGGTTTGTGTGTCGAGTGGGATCAGTCATAAGAAACTGCCTATTGCCAGATACAAATCAGATAGTGAATGACTCGTGGAAGGGTCCTAATAACCCGCCAGCTCCATCGTCTCATATTATATACTCACACACTCTTATGTCTTCTTTTTCACTTTTCTTCTATTTCTAGTAACCATGTCCATCACTACTAACTTCTTTTTACTCCTTCAATCCCCAAAACAATAATTATAACATAATCTTCAGATCGGTTTGATGGACCAATATTCTCCTAACATATCTTATTTAATGATCAACCTCGATCACACGAGTCATGATCACCCATCATCGGTGAAAGTTGGAGTAGAATAATAATGATTAGATAATTTTCAATAAAAATATTTTTAAAGATAAAATAGGAAATGTTAAAATAAAAAAAAAACAATGAAAATCCGGTTTTTTATAAATGACATTTGAGAGAAATTAATAAGAGAAATTTTTTTATAAATTAATTGTAATTTATAGAAAAAAAATTATTTTTTTACTAGAAATACTTCTAAAAAAATTTATCTGAGTAAATCTTACTTATAAGAAACAAAATTATTTTTCAGTTATATATATATATATATATAT